TTTTTGATTTATTGTAGAGATGAGGTCTCACCAAGTTGCCCAGGCGGGTCTCGAACCCGCGGGCTCAGGCAATGCACTCACCGCAGCCTCCCAAAACGCAGGATTACAGGCTGAGCCACCAAGCCTGGCTCCTCCATTTTCACCATCTCTTTTTTTTTGAGTCAGAGTCTCATTGTCACCCAGGCTGGAGTGCAGTGGCATGCTCACGGCCACCGCAGCCTCGACCTGCTGGACTCAGGTGATCCTTCCGCCTCAGCCTTCCAGTAACCCGCCACAATGCCCAGCTACACTATCTCTTCTTCTTCTTTTTTTTTTTTTTTTGAGTTAGAGTCTCACTCTGTCGCCCAGACTGGAGTGCAGTGGCCGCACCCGGTCACCGCAGCCTCGACCTGCTAGGCTCCGGCGATCCTTCCGCCTCAGCCTTCCGAGTAGCCGGAATTACAGGCATGTGCTACCATGCCCGGCTGATTTTTTGATTTATTGTAGAGATGAGGTCTCACCGCCCAGGCGGGTCTTGAACCCGCGGGCTCAGGCAATCCACTTTCCTCAGCCTCCCAAAGGCGCGGGATTACAGACTGAGCCACCAAGCCTGGCTACCATCTCTTCTTCTTTTTTTTTGAGTTGGAGTCTCACTCTGTCGCCCAGACTGGAGTGCAGTGGCTGCTCCCAGCCACCGCAGCCTCGACCTGCTGGGCTCTAGCGATCCTTCCGCCTCAGCCTTCCAAGTAGCCGGAATTACAGGCGCGTGCTACCACGCCTGGCTAATTTTTTGATTTTATTGTAGAGATGAGATCTCACCTGCCCAGGCGGGTCTCGAACCCGCAGGCTCAGGCAATCCACTCACCTCAGCCTCCCAAAGGTGCGGGATTATAGGCTGAGACACTGAGCCTGGCTACCATCTCTTCTTAATTAGGAGATCACTAAAGGGGAGAAGCACCTGGGTCTTGGGTTTTCTTAGCTGATAGTACCTCAGTTTCCTCTGCTGTCTTTCCAGAGCATCCCTGATACGTGGAGGCTATGACTGCAGAGCCAAGGGATGTATGCTGGACGCCTCATCACTTTTTTTTTTTTTTGAGTTGGAGTCTCACTGTCGCCCAGACTGAACTGCAGTGGCCGCTCCCGGCCACCGCAGCCTCGACCTGCTGGGCTCCGGAGATCCTTCCGCCTCAGCCTTCCAAGTAGCCGAATTACAGGCGCGCGCTACCATGCCCGGCTAATTTTTTTATTTATTGTAGGGATGAGGTCTCGCCTGCCCAGGCGGGTCTCGAACCCGCGGGCTCAGGCAATCCACTCACCTCAGCCTCCCAAAGGCGCGGGATTACAGGCTGAGCCACCGAGCCCGGCTTGACGCCTCATCACTTGACAGACTTTTGGGAGAAGCTCTTCAGAAAGGGATCTGGATCACTTGGTTCTTAGAGGTGGGACCTCGAGAAATCTTGGGGTGCTTCCCACCAACAGTCTGGAAGGAAGGGAGGCAAAAGAGAGCAGGAGGGACCTGGGCATAGCTGTTCCCATGGGAGCCCAGAGAGCAGGCTGTTCCTGCAGCTTCCTTGGCAACTGAAATCTAAGCTGGTGGGGGCTATCAGACATACCCCCTTGGAGGATCTATCTATTCTCCCTCATGCTGCCCCCCCCCATAGACTCAGGGAGTGATCTGAAACAGAGGCCAGGGCCGGGCAGGGACAGCCCTGGTGGGAGTTTCATGGCAAGAAGAGAATGATAGCTGGGATGAACTGAATGTGAGAAGAGCTGGCAGCTTCAAGAAATGGGTGGGCAGAGTGAGTGGGGTGGGAGGAGGGACAAGGCAACACAGGGACAGGGGATAGAAGCTCGGGTCTCGGCTGAATGCTGGCATCTGGTGAGAGGCCTGCTTGGGAGGCAGCATGTCCTTCACTGTAGCCTACCCAGATCTGACACCAGCCCCTATTGGGGGCTCAAGAAGAGAGGGAGGGAAGGAGAAGACAGGAAAGGGGAGCCCTTGTCTTTGAGTTCACAGACATGGGGGAGGGGAGGTGGGTCAGGAGGCCCTTCCTTTTCTATGGCCCTGAGTCTAGAATTTCAGAAAGTCTTCCCCACCCAATATTTTAGAGCTTTGCATCAAAGAGAGACATGGCAGGGGAAAGTAGAATGGAGGGGGAGAGAAAACCGTAGCACCTTCATCTCCCTGCTCTGAGTTTCATCACTCCTGGCCCTCTCCATAGCCTCCCAGGTCTGCCTGGTCCAGACAGAGAGTATCAGTGTATCTCATGGACAGGGATGCTCTCCCAACTCCCCAGGGACTACTTCCATACAGGGCAGAGCACAGAACCTGAGCACTACACACTGCAGCCTCTCTCCCCAGAGTTTCAGCCAAACCTGATCACCGAGGAGGTGGCATCGACTGGCAGACAGCCACCCTCAGTGCACCTCTCACTGCACACTGCACTGACTCTGCATGCTGCAGTCTCCTGCCCCACAGTACAGCTGTTGCATGCCCCCTGCAAGCCCAGGCTGAACACAGCTTCGCTCACTGCATGGCGGCTCTGCACACTGCAGCCTCAATTCCCCACTGTGGCTCCCACTGCCCACTGCAGGCTCCCCTCACTCACTGCATGCCCCTCCCCATCACCACTGCACTCTGCACCCCATGAGTGTCATGCCAGCTGCCCTTCTCATCCCCATGATCCCAGGGGCCCCAAGAGACGTACCCTCCCCTCTTCCAAGCATTGCAAGCCCCAATACCCCCTGTAAGAGGCTCCAACAGAGGATGCAGGTGGCTGAGATTAAGGCATGAGCAAGGGCACCCCAACTTGGATAAGCTGTGGGTCAAAATCCCACACTCAGCAAGTGATTCTGCCCAGCATAAACTGAGCGATTAGCAGAGCAGCTCCCCCTAGCGCGCGTGCACGCGCGCGCGTGCGCGCTCGCGAACACACACACACACACACACACACACACACACACACACACACACACCCCCTCAAGAACAGACTGTGGAGACAGGGCCCCGCCCTAGGAGCCGTGGGAAGGCTGTGGCCCCCCGCTGGTAAAACTGGGCTAATGACAGCAGGGGAACCGGTGGGGCCAGGGGGGTGCTGGGGTAATTAGAGCTCTGGCTGGCGCTAGGAGATCCTGAGATGAAAGGGTCTCTGGCGTCACTGGGGTGGTTTTATGTCCATGAATGCAGGTGTGTGTGTGTATGTGTGTTTTCCTGCGTAGGGGGCGGGACTGGCACGATGGAGACCTCTCCTTTGGGGAAGGGGATCCATTTGCACTCAGCCCACCCTCTTCTTTAGATTGGCCCTGGTGCCATTAGGATTTTGGTGGGGGCAAACATGGGGGGTAATACCACCTCCGTGAAGCTAGGAATTGAGGGTTATGGCAAATCTTGCCCCCTCCCCGAGCTCAGGAGAGGGAGCAGATTGTTGGGGAAATGGCTGGTGGCAGTAAAGAGAAAGAGTCTACATGGAGAAGGGTGACGTTTGAGAGATGAGGCCGTGGATCCGGTGCTGGTGTTAGAAATGAGAGGGCAAGGCGGTAACGGGGAACGAGCCCCCAAAGGATCACAGACATAGGATGATTGAAGTTAAACGGACATCAGGGGTCACCTGCCCAACCCTCGCATTTTAAGCGTGAGGAAGCTCTACCCCGACAGCAGTGGTGGCTTGCTCAAGGTCACACAGCGAGTTACTGGCAGAGAAGGGACCCGAACGCCGAAACAAACTCCACACCTCCAAGCCTTTGGCGTTTAGACTTTCTCCCCGATGTGTATAAGGTGCAAGAGGCCGGTCCATACTTCCTACCCCACCTCCCTGATGCACACCCGAAAACCCTCCATTCTCTCAGCGCGCAGAGGCTATTTTTTAATGACATCTTCTCCAAAATATGTCACCAAGCACCGCTCCTGCCGGAGCCGCCTGGCACGGGGCGCGCGCGTCCGCGCGGGGCGGGGCCGAGGCGGCC